ATATATATATATATATATATATATAAATTTTGTTTTTATATGACGTAATAAATATGATAGTGAAAGGTATCAAAGTTCAGTAAACAAATCATTATAAAATACGTCAACGCTAATGATACGATTTTTGCTCCAGTTTCGAATCAGATATTCCGAAGTCACGCAGTTTATCAAATTAGTACATATTGAAAAATTGCAAATTCATTCCATTAAGACAGTAATTACATAATTATTATAAAATTGAAAAGAAATACATTTCAAAATTATTATGTATCAAGGTTAGCTGAATTTCAAATTCATTTTAAAATATTTGCGAACAATGGTATTTACGTAGAATTATTTATGTAAGGAAATGGTAATACTCATTACTAGTTCATTGACACTTGTGCAAAATTGTTTTGCACAAGATATTTTCTCGATATAAATAATTACTAGATATCATGTACAAAAATAAATAGAAAAGTTCTGTAATTAAGTTAAAATACAGTTTTAAAATCTTTTTTTTTACAGTTTTACTTATTGACCATTTCAAGGCAGGTGTAAAAATTTAATATAATAAAAAAAACATGTTAAACATTTAATTCGAATCACATTTAGAGACAAACTGAAGAAGTAAAATTGCTATGTCTGTCATTATACCAATGAATTGTTAATTAAAAGCTTCCTTGAACTTCAGGCGCAATAGATGAATTATCATCATCATATAACTATATGATGATCTAATTCATAGACTCATAAAGTCTCAAAAAAGTTCATATTTTTAGTAGAAGTTCGTAATCTATTACTTATTATCTTCTGTTTCACAAAAAATGAATACTATCTTTAAAAATAGGAAAAGTCAATCGTTGTTAAAAAATCAGAAATTGTACTTTTTGAAAACCACGCCCGTTATTATAAAATCTTATATAATATAATAAGCAAATGAATTAATTTAAAAAAAAAATATTTAAATGCCTATGAAGACGACTATGAGAATAATTATATTTATTAACTACATTCAGTTTATATAGAAAAAATAAGCAGTCCTGCATAAAGAAATTAATATTGATTAGAAATTGTAGATACATCCAACGGCGTATCTACTAAAAATAAAAGCATAAAATTCTTAATTTTTAAAATTTCCTGTAAATTTAATTCCACAAACATTATATTTTCTCATGTCCAAACGCTTCTTTCCGATCGCCATCGTCAGGCCATTTAACCAGTTTTATTTAAATTGCAAATATCTGAAACGACATACAAGCTGCATACATAAATCAAAGTCCGTGCCCTTGCCTCCATAAATAATTCCACAATATGGGTTTCTTCGTGCAAAATCGTTTGTTTGTTTTATTTATTTTTTATTTGTTTTCATTTTATCGAAGCGCTTGGAGCAAAATAATTTTGATACTTTCGGTGATACAACATTAGTCATACATTTCTAAAAAACAAGGATTGAAATAACGTTGGTTTTAGACAAGTGAAAAATGTTAATTCCAAATGCTATCAGCAAAAACAGAAAAATATTTAAATTATTATATTTCTAGACTCTATTCGCTTGATTTAACATTAAAAATATTTATTTATTAGAGAGAATGTGGTCAAGTTCAAAGAGCAGTCAAATATGGGGAGCTCCGATATGACGGCGAGAACAGCAATGATTTTGAGGCTATCAAACTATTAATTTTACAAAAAAACTGTTATTGAATGAATTGTAGAAAATTTTATTTAGTTAAATTTTTTGACGCCATTTTTCCAAATGGCAGCGATTTACCGTAAAAATTGGAGGTGGCAAAGTTGAAATTCGTAAAGAGCACCTCGAAATCCATAAGGTTACCATTTTTCAGAATACTAGGAGTACTGAACCAGGAAAATGACCAAATTACTGGACTATATGAGTAAAAGTTTTAATAAAAATTATTTTTACTGAGATAAAATTATGTTTTAAAATGTCTAAGAGTAATTGTAAATAAATGCAGTAACTTTATAAATATAATATCTCTAAATAGCAGCAAAATATCTCTAATATTTCATCAATTACAATTACAATTTACAAGTATTACAAGAATAATTTACAATTTAGAAGTAAAATTCTTATTTATTCTACCTTTCTTGCTGCACAAGTTTCAAAAATCAAACATTTTTTCTGGCAAATATATAATAAATTGATATCAATACAATACCAATACGAAATATATTTAAATGTACATAAATTGAAAAAGAGTAAAATATATATATATATATATATATATATATATATATAAATATATGAATATTTAAATATTTAAACAAAACTTATGAATAAAAAATAACAAATAAGCAAAATTTTCCTATAAAAACAAACAAAATCACCTGAATTCTGAGTCACATCAAAGTCCATATTTAAAAACAAGTTATGGCCTGATATAATCTAAACAAATTCTTATTCATTTTATTAAACAATAAAATGCGCATATGTAATTATTGGCTATTTCAAGACTCGTTTCATAAATTTACATATTAAACTGTTAAACAATAATTAATTTTAACCTTTAGTAAAGTGCACGTTAGAAATGTATTATAGTGATTAGGATAGTGCAATTTTTAAGTACCTATTTCTTCTATATTTTTTAGTCATCGATAGACAAAATATCAGGTTCAATAGAAATAAAAAAATATGACCTTAAATAGTGTCCTCAACCAATTTAATTCATTTCATATCCAGATCAAACTAGACAGTGTAATTGGATGAGGAGACGATAATTGAGATAAATGGAAAAAATAACATCTATATAGAGACGTAGAGTAGTAACTATTCCATTATTGGAACAATCATATTCATTTTTTGAGAATTTTAGTAGTAATATGATATATATGAAAATACTTTTTTTTAATTACAGAAAATTCTAAAAGAATTCGACATATAAGAAAATATACACTACTCCAGATCCTGAACTTCCACCATGTGATTTTACACCAAAGTCGTACAAGGTAAATCATTATACCAATTAAATCAATGTAGAATTTGTAATAGTTTTATGTTAATAAGATATTTTATTTTCTAATATTTATATTTATTTATAATAGGGCCCTGACTATGACGCGGTACAAAATATAAGACAGGGCCGGTTAGTGCCCTGCATCACTTCGTATTATAAAAAGCCAGTATTAATACATCAAGGAAAAATGCAATGGTTATGGGATCATACAGGAAAAAGATATTTAGATATGTTTGGTGGAATTGTTACTGTCAGTGTTGGTCATTGTCATCCGTAAGTAAATAAAAGCTACTTGAAAACGTAGTATTTTTATATATTATTTTTTATCGTTGGTATAAATGCATTTTTTGACTCAAATTAACATATTTTCATCTATTCAATCTTTAATTTGATAATTAATAGTATTTAATACCTTATAACAATTGATAACAAAAACACCAGTGTTTTTTAACTTCTCTTACTTTTCTAGAAATATTTAAATATTTTATAATTTGGACAAAAAACAGTATCGATTATTGTAGTGTACTTAGTTATTGTAGCCTCATTTTGGTTATTGTTCTTATCTATTTTGTAAAAAGTTTTCTACGAATTGTTTATCTTTGAATTTAATATATTCATCTCCAAATTCAAAAATTTAAGTAATTTTTTAATAAATAAATTAAAAGTATTTATATGAAGATGGGTTTATGTATAATTTATCCTAATCATTAAAAATTATTTTTAGGAAAGTCAATGCAGCTTTGGCTGACCAAATGGATTCTCTATGGCACACCACAAATATTTATATGCACCCAAAAATACATGAATATGCCCAAAGATTGACTGATAAAATGCCAGGTGACCTCAAGGTAATAATGTATTAAAACAATAATAATAAAATAATCAGCATGTCTACCTATCAATGGGAATCGAATGCTTTTTGAATAATTCAAATCCGTTGAGCGGTGCTCACGAAAACGTCGACGAAAAATTATATTCATACATACATCATACTGCATACACACATACATCATTTTTTTCTGAGGTATGCCAAAATGTTGAGAAACCTCTAAAACGTGAAAATATGCAAACATTTTTATTGTAGACTTTTAGACGATTACTATAACTTACCCCACGAGAAGATAAAAATGCTCAGCAAAATCCTTACAAAATTAGTTATGACAAATTAGCTTTAACTTCCTGTAGGGTAACTTATAATTATAGTAATCGGAAAAAAATTGAAAATGAAATTTTTTATATATCTTTACGATTCAGAGATTTCTGAACATTTTGGCATACCTTAGAAAAAATGGATACCAAAGGATGGATGTGTATGTGTGCGTGCGTTCGGATAAATATTCGTTGACGATTTCGGGAACACCGTTCAACCGATTTTAATGATTACAAAACATTCGTTTCCTATTGATAAGGAGACATTCTAATTAGTTTTTGGCAAAGGCAGGTCCAGTCGTTTTGAGGGGAAAAAAGTGCCAAATTTTTAGAGAACAAAGTGTCCGATTTGAATGGTTCAAAAAATGTATTGATAAAATGGAGAACTGAAGGTGATTTTTGGGAAAGCAATAAAAAAAGTAAAAAAAGGCCATTTGGCGGTCAAAAATGATCGTTAGACAGAAGCACATCAGATATTTTATGGAGTTTTTACTAATGTGTATCAATTTTGTTTACATTTCTATGGGTTCCGTAACATTGTTTGTCCGTTAGACGACGATGCGGCGCTTACGCGCTTCGATATTTTGTCTCTATGCAGATAAAGTAGTGCAATTGCTTTGAAAAAAAAATCAAAATTTCCAAAATATTTCAAATTAAAAAGAACATTTTTTTCCATAAGTCATTTTTTTCAAAAATCTAATGTTTTCAAAGTTCTAAAAAAAAATTGAATTCATTTTTAAAAACTTTAATTTTTGGTACGGGAATTTTCAGCAATTTGCCTTAAGGCTCGATGCCATGCACCACTAGTTTTTAAAATTTTTGGAACATGACCACTCTTTTTGTACCAGTCCTTTGTTTCGAATTTGTACACAAATTCGCACGGAAGTTTTTAGTAGTAGACCAGTTTGTAGTCTATATAACACTAGTAACTATAGCGTTATATGGAGGCTATTTGTATTAAAAATTGTATAATACTGATAAATACTTATATGACATTGGCCAAGACTTTGACTATTGTTATTTTTTTAAAATAAATAATCATTTACCTTTTATTTTACATCTGTCTCTAGGTAGTTTATTTTGTAAATTCCGGCTCGGAAGCGACTGATCTCGCCATGATGATGGCCCGCCTGCACACCGGACACCACGACATTCTGTCCTTCCGGAATGCTTATCACGGCATGGGCACTGCAGCCATGGGAATAACAGCACACAGCACATGGCGCTATACAATTCCAGTATCACAAGCTGTACACCATGTAGGAAAATGATATCATTTCAATATTGCATTTTGATATAAAGTTACTTAATACTAACACTTTCATCGAAATTCATACAACCAACACAACTTTGAATAGGGTCCGCCAAATAACTTTTTTTTAGGGGGTACGACTTAAGCAACCCTACTGTGTACTCTGCATTCTTTACATTTCACTTTCAAATGAAAAAAGTGAAAATATTTAGTGGTTTTTTAATAGAATTTTCAAACAAAAAGAAAATTGGCAAAATATTCAGTAGATTTTTTAAGGAATTTTTCAAAAAAAGCTAGTTGGCGGACTCTATACATAAAGTAAGGACAAAATGGCATAATAGGTGATACACTTTGGGATACTAGTTTTTGGAAAACTAGTTCATAAATAAATAGTTTTCTACATCAGCACGTGACGCGTGTCTCCAAAGAGAACAATTCATACATCGTAGTAACCAACATTCTCCGAACGTTTTTAATACTTATGGGCCGATTCTGCCGCATAACAGACCAATGTTATGGCAAGGCTATGTTATGAAGAAGTTTTCATACAAATTCGTTCTAAATATTGCCACAAGCCATGTGGTTGCCGTGCAGTCAGACGTTTTTCTCAGGTTGTCAGATAGAAAACCTATCCCAGAAACCGCACAAATGTAAAAAAAAAAACATATTAGATAACAGGGTATTTCTGACACAGCTACATAACATGCGAATGACGTTGCAATTTATGTGTAAAACGCCTGAATGCACAGCAAATGCATGACATTTTGACGGTATTCAGTATGATTCAGTAGCATAATGTATGAAAGTTGGAGCGTAACATGGCCTTGCCATAACATTTTTCTGTTATGCGGCAGAATCGGTCCCATTGTAAGGACAAAATGGTATAAAAGGTAATAAACACTTAGATACTAGTTTTTGGGAAAACTATATCATAAATATATTTATGATATATTTATAAATAGTCAGCTTTCTATATCATCACGTAACGCGTGCGTCCAAAGAGAACAATTCATACATCGTAGTAACCAACATTTTCCGGGCTCAGAAAAAGAAAATAAGGGTTTTGAATTGAATACTATTCTCTTCTTTTCAAATAAATAAATTAAATAAATAAATAAATTCTTTAATACGTTTTTAGTAGTACTTACAGCCAATCACCTTTGACATATTTCAATTTTTGAAGTAAAACTTCTTTAGACGCGACTAGGGTGTAAATCCGTACAAATGCAACGGAAGTGCGTTACGGTAGATAAGATAAAATAAGAGTCTAGTACCAATGATTCGTCATTCGCTCTCGATAATATCATTTCTATACGGGTCGATTGTGATTAGTCGTCGCTTATGTGAATAGAGATCTGTCGTTATATGCGTGCCGGCGTTAACGTTGTATGCGTACCGATATCAACAAGGAAATCGGCATAGATATATAAACATTTTAAAGTTACATCGTAGAACATATCTTGATTTAATGAAAAATTCCTGAATCAGAAGAATATTTTACCCCATTCCTTGAAAATAATAAAACAAATTAAATATTTGTGTACCAAACGTATGTTCATTAATTAGAAATTATTTCTATATTATTCGTAGTTTCTATAAATATTTGAATTTATTGAAATGGAAAATATTTTTGAGGCAAAACAGATATTACAGCTGTTCAAAAAATGAGTTTATATAGACAGCAAAAAAATAAAAAAAAAAACAGTCAATGAATGTATGTTAATTTTAATTACATAAAGTTCTTCAAACACAATTATTACATGATGAGTGAATTTGCGAAAACAATATTTGTTTAGACGTTGTATAACATAATTCACTATGTTAGCGAATATTATAGAAGTTCTTAATTAGCAATTACTTCATTTCTCTAATGAAGGTTCATTTCTAAATGCTAATTACAATGACAAACCGATCATGTCATATTTTAAGTATGACTCTAATTACATTATTGTTTTTAAATATTATACATATTTTTAATGCTATTATAAATATATAATTTATAATTTATCATATAAATGTGTATAATGGTTGATACTAATAAATCACGAGCGTTACCATATTACCAATAAACATTATTAAACATTAATATTTTTATCGTATTTGTTTTTGACATAAAATGTGCTTAAAAACCATTTATTTAATTTATTTACTAGGTAATGAATCCAGATCCATATCAAGGAATTTGGGGTGGCGCACATTGTAGAGATTCTCCAGTGCAAACAGACCGAAAATGTGATTGCGACATCGATCATTGTCGTGCTGGTGATCTTTATTATAAGCAGGTAATAATTTACTTATTAGTAATCGATTTTGCTGTTATTGCTGCATATTTAATTACATTGGTGATAATAAATAATTTGATTTAGTTAAAAGAAGTTTTCAAATATTCTCTGCCAAGAGGACGAGTTGCTGCATTTTTTGCAGAATCCATACAAGGAGTCGGTGGGACCGTACAATACCCTAAAAAATATTTGAAACGAGCTCATGCCCTAGTCAAAGCTAATGGAGGATTGTATGTTGCAGATGAAGTATGTAAATAAATGTTTACTAAAATAAAATAGTTAATTACCAGTCAATGTTTTTTACAATTTTTAAATAGGTTCAAACTGGTTTCGGTCGTACTGGTACCCACTTTTGGGGTTTTGAAGGACATGGAGTTCAACCGGACATCGTGACAATGGCTAAAGGTATCGGAAATGGTTTTCCTTTAGCAGCAGTTGTGACTACAAAAGAGATAGCATCGTGTCTTACGCAAGCTTTGCATTTTAATACATATGGGGGCAACCCGTTGGCGTGCGCCACTGGCCTAGCCGTTCTCGATGTAAGGAATTAAAAATAATATTTAATGTTTGAATCATACCACATACCAATGTAGTGTTGACAAATTCTCATATTAGCATGCTCTGATAGAAAACTTACAATGAAACCAGTTAGTGGAAATAATAGAAACATTTTTTCCAAATATCGCTCTTTCATAGATGACTAGCAAACCCGACGAACTCCGTTTCGCCACCAGATGGTTTCGTGAGAAAACACGAAACTTTTTGTTTTGTTTTATATTTGAAAAGGAAAAAAATGATTTTATTGCACAACAGTAATGAATTTATTTCGATTACAGAATTGAAGTATTCTTTAGTTGAACTCCTCTAAGTAAATGAAAGTGAATCAGCAAATTATCCGTTTCATTGAAGTGCTCTTTGGTAAACCACATTTTTTGTTTTTTGGTCTGACGTTACCACAAACAAAGCGGATGGTTTTCCAACTCGTGAACAGGCAACGTATAACTGCCCGTGTGAAAACAATGATTTTCTAAATAATCTATTTGAAATTTATCCCGCAAACACTAAGAGATTGGCCTTGCGACTTGTTAGTTGTCATTGCGAACGCAAGGCGAACTGGAAATTGCAATCGTTTGAAGTCAAACGGAAGACCAGTCGGAATCATTGGTATGTCACCACATCGCCAGCAATTTTTGATTGAATGGTAAAATTCGGTGCGTGTACATCATTATTCTTTGCGGCAAGAATTGCTCGTTGACTTAACCAAGCACAATTCTGATAATTCTTACTAATGTCATTACTCGAATTTTTAATTACGGTGCGTGAAGTTCCAACAATTTGCATTAAGGCACGATGCCATGCACCATTAGTTTTGCTATAAACCTTGCGGAGTCCGAGACCTTTCCAACGAATGCAAAATTGTCGAAATCAGTTCGTGCGTTCTGGAGTTATTTCGTCAGGAAGGAAAACCCGACTTATTTTTATATATATGTAGATAACATTTATCTATTATTTTTTAGGTTCTAGAAGAAGAAAAACTACAACAAAACGCTTTGGAAACTGGTACGTATCTTCTGGAAGGTCTGGCGGGTCTCAGGGATCGTTACAAATGCGTCGGTGATGTCAGAGGCAAAGGTCTTATGATAGGAGTCGAACTCGTTGATTGTGTAAAACGTCAGGCAAATGAGAATGCAATCAACTCAAATGCTGCAGAATCCTGTAATGGAAATGGCGGAGTGCCGGAATGCAAATCTGAATGTTTGAACGGTCGTAAAAGCCGAACCCCCATGTCTGCTCCACATTTCGTGGATATTTGGGAGCACTGCAAAGACATGGGGCTGCTATTGGGACGAGGAGGCTTGAACGCCAATGTTCGTATGATTCATATAATAGTTGATAATTATATCTCAAACTACTTGTAATTTAATTTTGCCTTAAACCAGACTGCCCGAATTTTTCGATGCGGAACACGAAGGTCCAATTTGACTTTCATTAACTTCTAAACTGTAGTATCAAACAGTCAACTATCAAACTATGTTCAGTAAATTTCCAGTTAATTCCTGATTATAACAAAATGTTATTTTACAATTTTTTTTAAATTTGTAATCTGTCCCTCGGTTTAAAAATGTTTGCCACCTATTTTAGTACAATAATTAGGAAGTATAATAATAATTTCTTCTCCTAAGACATAAAATCTTTTTTTTACTAAAATTATTTATTTTCTTCAGGTATTAAGAATAAAGCCACCAATGTGTATCACAAAAGCTGATGTTGACTTCACAGTTGCAGTTTTGGATAAGGCATTACGGACACATGCTGTGAAAACTAAACGAAGTGCCAATCATTAATTAAATCGTATAATAGAAGAATATAACTATAGTATATAAGGATCGTCTTGTATTTTTGTAACGACATATTTTTATATGTAAATAAAAAATAGAATAAAAAACTTATTTATTTGAAAAAGAGACTTGCAAAACTTCTATATTTAGTGGTTGCTCTGTACGTATCAGAAACATGGACTCCAAGAAAGGACAACAAAAACTACCTGGAGAGTTTTTAAAAGTAGTGTTGGAGATGAATGGAGAAGATAAGATGAACAAATAAAATAACAAACAAAAGAGTGCTGAAGAAGAATAACTTTTCTGACCAATGTTAGTCCAGTCATTATAGCAAGTTTACCTCGGAATTTGAGAATTTCAGCTGTAAGTCTGTAAATACACTCTTAAAGTTGTCTCAAACCTTACATATGGTAGGGTGTACGTACCATATGTAGGCTTTCAGACAACTTTTAGGGTGTATTTACAGAGTATTTACAGGCTTACAGCTGGATATCTCAAATTCCCAGATTCTTACTTAAACGACTGGACTATATTGGACCCATTCTGCAAAAATTGTGATTTTTTCGTCGAAGGTAAAATAGAAGTACTGAAAAGATTAGGATCAAGAAGAATGCAGATGATTGATGACCTACGCAAGACGAGAACATACAGGGAACTGAAAGCCGAAGTACATGACTAGGAAACAAGGAAGCAGAAGTTTGCTAAGAAAAACACATAAAAGTGTAAAAAAGGTGGGAATGAAATGGTAATAGTAATAATATACAAAGAAGGGAAAGATTGATTTGATTTTGTGATGCTCTCATACCTTGGACCTGCCTAGGCAGACAACTATTTATTATTATTATTATAGAAATTGTAAAAATTAATTTATTGCTTAGGGATAGAATAACCATTTGAGTTGTCATCTATAAAAAAACAACGTCATTAAGAGCAACTGCGCGTTTCGTTAGAAAAATTCTTCATTTTATTTATACAAGAATCTACTTTAAATATGTTTTTTAATTTCCCAAGCAAGGGAATTTCTACTGAGCTAAAAAAAAGTGTTATTAAAATTATCAAATAATTGTGAGCGAATTCTACATAATAGATCTGCGAACATAAAGCAAAAATCGGTCAAAATATTATATTTTGATTTTAATAATAAGTATATATGTTTAGATTTTGTACTAAGATTTTTGATGTTTTAAAGTTCATTTATATATTTCAAACTAATTTCCGACTTGATTGGGTTTCAAATTTTTCGAAATATTTCAATATTTTCAAAAAAGTCGATTCAGTAAAATTTATATTATCAACAAAAATTCAATTTGCTGTAAATTTAAATTGCTATATGGAAAGTTCCAGCAATTAGCCTTTAGCCACGATGGCATACACCAATCGCAAAAAATCGAAAATTTTTAAATATCTTTACGTTTCAAAGGTTTCTGAATATTTTAACATACCTTAGAAAAAATGGATGTATGTGTGTGTGTGTGCTGATACAAAAAATTCGTCGACGATTTCGGGAACATCGATCAACCGATTTGAATAATTCAAAAAGCATTCGATTTGTATTGATAAGGAGACATGCTGATAAGTTTTTGGCGAAGTCAAAAATGGTAACTCAGTTTTTAAGAGAATCGAGCGTCCAATTTCAATCATTCAAAAAACATTTTACTTGTATTGATAAGATGAAGAACTGATTAAACTTTTGGGAAGGCAGGTCTAGCGGTTTCGGAGATCTAGTTAAAAAAGAAAAAAAAATCCATTTGGCGGTCAAAAATCGTCATTAGACATAGGGACATCATTCAAAAGGATTGTATTAAGAATTTTAAATTGTGTGTACATCATACGTTGTATGAATTAGACATTAGTAATCAAAAAAATTTTGAACAATATTTTTAAATAGTAACGTTCAAAATACGAAATATTCTTAATAACAATCTTTAACATCTGTTAACACTACTAAGAAATTTATCAATCAACGATCTAATCTGGCAATACAGTTTTCTATTTGTATTTGAATAACATGGCGTACTATGGGTTTTGTAAAATACATTTATGTCAATAAGCTAACATTGTGATGATTAAAATGGTTTAGATATTGTTTTAAAACTTCAAACCTGTTAAAATAATTCCTAAAATGATAATACAAGATCCTGTACAGGTAGAATGTGGTTTTGTGAAAAAATATTTATGATTCATCATCAAAACGTCAAACTAATATATTTGTTTGCACATATATTTTGACATATAACTTAATGTGTAATAATAATCATTATTGCGTGCATAAAAACTATTGTTATAAATATCTTACTATTAAAGCTGAATCCAAAAATATATTTCTCACTAAAAAGCAAATTTTTGTAAGTTCTTAAATTAAAAAAATTAATAAGTTCCTTCTCTCTGCAGGCTGCTATTTGGCGTTGTTTAAATCACTATGCCTATCAGGATGCCACTTTCTTAGCTGAAAGATTACACGCTGAATGTAATTATCTTTAAATTATATTAGCAAAATCTATAAAGTGCCCTAATTAATATTTTGTTTCAGTAATCAGTGATGAAAGTTTGTTTCTGCTAGCGACATGCTATTATCGATCAGGGCTTATTCAACAAGCCTTCTGGTTATTGCAGAAACATCAAAGCAAATCTCCACAATGTCGTTACCTGTTGGCAAAATGCGCCATGGATTTGGAAAAGTAATTATTAGATTGAGATTCGGAAACTATTACAAACTGATTTAATAAAATGTTCAATTACTTATCAATACTATTTTCATTCTAGATTGAGCGAAGCAGAAGGTGCTCTATGTCCATCAGAAAATGTGACAAAATGGAACTTGGATGATGTAGTTAATGATTTTGGTGATCAAGCATGTTTTTCTCTTCAACTATTAGGAAAAATATATGGACAGACAGAACAGTTATCAAAATCATTTGAAGCAAATCGAAAAGCTTTACAATTATGTCCCTTTCTTTGGAATTCTTTTACAGAATTGTGCAATAAAGGTGATAAACCAGATCCGAATCAAATTTTTCAAATAACATCTGATACTGTGTATAATGGAATGAACTATAATATTCATAATGTGACAGATAAAAATGTAGATATAAATGTACAAAGTGCATGTGTAACGCCCATGGATTATTCAACACCAATTATGAACCCAGTAACACCAAATGTAAATGGCCCTCATATTAATAGAATAATTGCGGAAGAGAGTCCGTTTAGTATATGTGGTCAAAATATTAGTTGTATATCTGGAATAACCAATTTACAAGCACTCCCTAAACAATTACAATTTAATATAATGAATTCATCAGGAGTAAGTAGTCCTGCTACTCCAAATTTTGGCTTTTTGCCACTGGAAAGTCCACAATTATCATTTGTCCAAACAACTCCCGTACAATCAGCAGCTCTAACAGAAGCAAATGATCAGAAAAGTAGTAAAAAACAAACCTTAAGCAGCCTAAGAGCACAAATGGGTTTACTAATTAGTCGAAAAGATTCACCTGTAGCAGTCTCAAAGCCTCCTGTATTCAGCCAGAGTGGTAATGTTAGCAACACGACACCACAAACCACAGTTCCTGGATCTAACATACATTCAGCACAAGTTAGGAGGAGCTCTAGACTTTTTACAAATAATTACTCAGTTAAAGAAAATAATAAATCTCCAAATAGAAATAAATTTGCCACCCCAAAATCTCCTAGAAAACCAAAGCAACGTTTAACAAAGACTAATTTAGGTAAAACAAATTACGAAATAACTGAAAAAACAGTAGATAAAGAAAAAGTAGAAACTATAACGTCTGATCAAAAAGTTTTGCTGAATAATAGTATAAACTCTGCACAAACATCAGCGCAGCAACTTCTAGTTTTGCAAAAACAAAGTGTTGATGGACTCATGTTTCTTTTAAGACAGTTAGGTCAAGCTTATTTATGTTTAACCCAATTTCGTTGTCAAAGAGCTGTTGATGTTTTACTTGAAATTCCTCAAAAGCATTTCAATACAGGTTGGGTTTTAACAACATTGGGCATGGCGCATATGGAAATGACTGATTATGAAGCAGCCATCAATATTTCGAACAGGCTCATGAATTAGAACCTTTTAGATTGGAGCGAATGGACATGTACAGCACAGCGCTTTGGCATTTGCAAAAAGAAATTGTGTTATCAGCTCTTGCCCAAGATTTAATGACTCAAGATAAGACTTCGCCTATTTCTTTACTTGTTAGCGGTAATTGTTTTTCCTTGCATAAGGAGCATGATACAGCTATTAAGTTTTTTGAACGAGCTGTACAGGTGGATCCAAAATATGTTTATGCCTATACATTATTAGGGCATGAATTAGTGAACACTGAAGAACTCGATAAAGCTATGAGTTGTTTCAGAAATGCTATACGCTTAAATTCTAGGCATTACAATGCATGGTTTGGAATTGGTACAATATATTCTAAGCAAGAGCGATTCCAATTAGCCGAAATCCATTACAAACGTGCTCTTTTAATTAACAGGCAAAGTTCAGTTCTTATGTGCCACATTGGTGTGGTTCAGCACGCACTTGGCAAAACGGACAAAGCTTTACAAACTCTTAATCAAGCCATAGAGCTGAACCCTAAAAATCCATTAAGCAAATTCCACAGAGGCTCTATATACTTCTCAATTGGCAGAAACCAAGAAGCTTTGAAAGAATTAGAAGAGTTAAAAGAAATGGCTCCTAAAGAATCTTTAGTATATTATTTAATAGGCAAAGTTCACAAAAAAATGGGAAATGTTCATTTAGCTCTTATGCACTTTAGTTGGGCTACTGATTTGGATCCTAAGGGCGCTAACAATCAAATAAAGGAGGCTTTTGATCCAAATGTAAGTGGGACTGCTGAAGACGAAAGTAATACAAGTAACGATGCAAATGTCACACCAGAAGACCAAACAATAGACATGCAACGATTGCGTCATATACAAGTGCGTTTATTTAGTGATGAGCCAGAGCCAGAATTGAGTGATGTTGAGGTCAATTATTGATAAATGTGTTAATCGTGTGAGGTCTAGAATATATATTTCTTAAGCATATTATATCTGTAAGGATTTTTTTTCTGTAGAAAATTGACTCAAAATTAATTTTAAAGAAAACTATTTATTAACAATAATAGTGGTTGGAGAAACTATATAATTTTTAAACATTTATATGTATGGATTTAATATATATGTATATAATTTTTATATCCGTTTTTTTTGTTTTTGTCTATTGTTTATATTGTGAATATGTTTTTTGTAAATGTTAATTGTATAGTTTTAAGACGAATTGTTTTTATATTGTACACAAACTTTCAGATTGATCTTACCAATCAGTTGTGAAAGGAATTGTCTCTACCAAAGAGTCACAAATAAATAAAATGTATAAGCAGACCGACATTTGTGGGCTTTGTAGTTATTAATTTATGTTAATATTATGATAAGCATAATAAAATTAAAGACTACACACATCGCAATTATATAAATAATTTTAAATATTATATTGAAGGCTTGATGCAAAAATAAATTATATAGTAGTGGAAATAATATGTTCAAAAGTATGAATAAAAAAGTGTAATTTGCTGTTTATTTTTTAATGTCTATTGTTGGTCAACCCTGTTGTGGGTTATTTATAAACAATTGTTATCCAACAGAATTAATTTTATCAAATGTACTGCTGTTAAAATAAATAAAAGCATTCTTATGGAATATTTGATAGTACCAACAATATCTACTTGGCACAGAAATTGATACTGTTTTTTAAAATACTTTGTGAACTGCAAATAATAAAGGGAATATTAAGATGTCTTATTTATTATTTGCCAATTTTTTACCCAAAATAAACTAAAGGGATTTTTTAAAATAAATTTCTCTATCCTAAACTAACGATTGTAACTTGCAGTTAGTTAAACAAAAATTAAAAAGTTTTTCCGCGAGTTCGTTAAACATTTTTCATTATTTTTGTGATATCTGAAACCTACGATATAAAAATTTACCGCTTCTCACAAAAATAAAGGATCAGTTCCTTTTCCACAAAAAATCAATCAGATTAAAAAAAGATCTCATACTGAAGAAGTTCCAACAATTTTATATTTAAATTAATTTTATTAACTTCCCGAAGAAGAATAAAATCCGAGTTGCTAATTTTACGTTCTCCTGAAGTTTCAAGTCATTCTGAATCGTTTGAGAAAGAAAATGGAAAAACCATTGGCATTTTCTTTCTAAGGCAATGTACGTGTATTGGCCCAAGAACCCAAATTTGATCTTTTGTCATTTGAAACTCAAAAATTATCGACTAAACAAGTAAGTCCTTGGACTAATGTCGATTAGTTTTTGTAATAATGCATAAAATATAATATGTATAATTATAATCGACTGTTTGCGATTTAAATTATTTCTGATAAGAAAAATATCTAACTGTAATGATTGTGAAAGTTAGGATGTGGTGAGTGAAAAAGTTAGTAAAAAAGTCAATCTAATCTGAAACTGATTACATTTAAATTGTATTGGACATATGTAGGTATAACAAAATATTCGAGGGCATAACAAAGATTATATGAAATATATTATTTGCCACTTTTTATCCCGTATCTTCGAAACGGCCGGGCCTACCTTTGCCGAAAACTATTAAGCAGCACGTTTTCCGAATGAAAATTGAAATTTTCAAAAGAAAAAAATCGATATATAAAAAAAGAATTTCAATTTTTTTTAATAGTTAAATTATTTCAAATATTTTATTATTCGTATTTTATAGACAAAATGTGAGAGCTTATGAATTAAGACGACCATTAATCTAGAAAATAATTATTTATGTTTAATAAAATATATATAAACAAAATCCAAGCTCCTTCTCATAAATAAAGGACCTCATCTCATATTTCATTATATGTATTGAAATTATCTCATACTTATATAAATTATATATAGAATGTAAAGTTAAAATTATTTATTGGAAGAATATAAGTGAGCTTCAGAATTCCTAAAATTAAAAATTTTGAATATTTTAAATTTTTCTTTTCTAATTTTGAAACTTGATTTTTGAATATTTTGAAATCGCTAGACCTGCCTTCCTCAAAAACTAATTATTATCTTCACACTGTCAACACAAGCAAAATGATTTTTGAACAATTGGAATCGGATGATCCGCTCCCTTAAAAATTGCTATTTTTGCATGGCCAAACATACACATTAGACTTGCACCGAATATTCGGTTTCTATTCGGTATTCGGCATATTCGGCACCTTTTTTGATATTCGGCCGAATGCTGAATAGCATCTTACTATTCGGCCGAATACCGAATAGTTAAAATCAAAGGACCCGCCGCCGCCGCCGCTCAGCGAAAGTATTGTGTGTGTTTTATCTTTTATGCGATAAAAAGCTTGGCCATGGATCTGTATATATATTTTGAAGTCTTTAGTTTACATAATATGATATGAAGAAATAAATCCATTATTATATTTTGTATTTATAATAATTTAAGCTTTATCGACTTTGGAGATTATAAATGAATATGTGAAGAACTTTTTACTCAATATTAAAAGGACACGTTATTGTTATATGTTTATGTTATTTTAAAAAAACATTCAACGGTTACACGCATGTGTTGTATATCTATATTCAATATATTTATAAAGCATTATGAAACCCATCAATATACTCAGTCTAAGCATCTCTAAATAAAGAGATATCATAGGCTGTATATCGCAAAAAGACAAATAATATTTTTGGTCAGTTTTTATTTACTTTTTTAAGAAATAATATTGTGTTTATAAAAAAAAACAAATGTTTTTGAATCAAATAGTAATTGGACATACATTTATATATATGTAAAGAATTGCCTTTTGATTTTTTTCCTAATTATGCACATTATTTAAGTATTCGGCCGAATAGTATAAATAGTGTCAAATTTTCCAAATAAGAAGGAGTACCCAAATAGTAATTGCAAGCCAAGAGATAAAAATTCAATATACATATAGTACGTTTGTAATATAACAACTGCAATTAATAAATACATTAACACGAACGAATTTAGGCGTTGCCAAACTTGCCGAATATTCGGAATTCGGTTTCTGGAGCATGTCGAATGTTCGGTATTCGGCATTTTGCCAAATATACTATTCGTTGCAAGCCTAATATCTTGGCATCTTTTAAGGTATGCCAAAATTTTCAAGATCTTTTGAAACGTAAAGATATATAAAAAGTTTCATTTTCGTTTTTTTGCGATTTCTATAACAAACTCTGCGAGAAGTTAATAATCGAGAGATCTATGAATGCAACAAGTTCAAAAAAGTCTGTGAATAAAATCATAACTTTGTCATGAATTAGTATGATGTTTGATCGCAACAAGTGTTGTATTTTCATATTAGGAAAATAAAATTTAATAAAAAATAGATAATATTGTTTCGGAGAAATACCGCATTATGGCAATAATATATTTTGCAACCTTTTTCGCTGAAAATCTAGCTACTTCCAAATTAAAAAAAAAAGATGTACATTATTATTACAACATGTACTATATTGGCCGACCCTGGGGCTAGATAATAATGTTTTCGTAGTGCTTACCACAAGCTTACAACGACAACTAGATAACGATGTAAATAAATAGCTGATGAGTTAATTGAAAGCAAAATACGTGTTCTGTTGAAAACAACAACTAGAAACATAAAAAATATAGTTATTTTCATACCATAATTATGGCGGAAACAGTTGAAACAGGTATGAATATTTATTTTTCATTTATATCATATTTTTATAGATACATATACTATATACTTATATAAGTGCCGGTCATATATGCGATACTTTGAAGATATTAACAAAATAATTCATTTAAATCAGTGATTCCCAAAGTTGAAAATGTGAACCCTCAAGGGTCCATATGACCGCGAAAAAGAATTTGAAGGAACACGAATTGAGAATTAAAAACATAGTAGTGGTCGACCACTACTTATTATCTTTTTATATTATTATTTCATTAATTCTTACAAATATGAGATTAAATCACCTTATGAATTCATCCTAATTGGATACGATACATATATATTTAACATCCCGTAGGGCAAGTTATAGTAATCGCAAAAAAATCGAATATGGAATTCTGAACATTTTGGCATACCTTAGAAAAAATTGATGTATGTGTGTGTGTGTGTGTGTGTGTGTGTGTGTGTATGTGTGTGTGTGCGTGTATGTATGTATGTTCGGATACACATTTTCGTCGACGATTTCGGAAACACGGATCAACCGATTTGAATAATTCAAAAAACATTCGATTCGTATTGATAAGGAGACGTGCTGATCAGTTTTTGGCGAAGGCAGGTCTAGCCGTTCCGAAGATACAGGGCAAAAAGTGCCGAAAACGGTAACTCAGTTTTTAAGAGAATAGAGCGTCCGATTTGAATAATTCAAAAAACATTTTATTTGTATTGACTAAATGAAGAACTGTTCAAATTTTTGGAAAGGCAGGTCCAACGACTTTGGAGATATGGAGGAAAAAGTAAAAAAATGAGCCATTTGGCGGTCAAAAATGAACATTATAGACATATGCACATCAAATTATCAGATATTTTCAGATAATAAGTTGAAATTTAGTTTACATTCCTATCGGTTCCGTACCAATGTTTACGCGTTAGACGGCGACGCGGCGCTTACGCGCTTTGATATTTCGTCTTTATGCAGTTAAAGCAGTACGATTGCTTTGAAAAAAAGTTCAGAATTTCCAAAATATTTCAAAATAAATGATTTGAGAAAGAATGATTTAATATGGTACGAAATTCTATTAAAAGTTTCAAATCATTGATCAACTTTTATTGATTATAATTATTGATTATTTTTAATTACTCGAATTTTGAATTGCGGTACGGAAAGTTCCAGCAATTTGCCTTAAGGCACGATGCCCTAATTGTCTTAAGACAGAATTCCACTTACAGCTAGTTATTGTTTACATTTTATACAATGCTATTTGTACACTTATAAGCATAAGTGCAATTTAGGCCTATAAAATATGAATTGTGCAATTCATAGTATATATTTATAATAATCTAATTGAAAATGCACAAAATTATCTTTATAAAAATGAATCGCAAAATGTGTTGGTAAGCGCGTAACTCAACAACGCCTAGACCAATTTGGCCAATTCTTTTTTTAAAATGTTGGTTGAAGTCCAAGGATGGTTCTTACGGCAAGAAAAAATCGAATAATTACCGGAAAAACCCTAAACAGCCCTTTTCTTTTTCACATACAAACGTTTTCTAGCTAAAACGTAGAATCTATTTGAGCTTTAATTTTTTTATAATGCGTAATAAGGTGAATTAGAGAATTTTTAAAAGTAAACTGACGGACAGGTTAATTGGTAGACATGTAGAACGAGATGACAGATAAATTTGTAGATCGGTAGATTGATAAATAGGTTCATAGGTAAATTAGTAAACAAATGGTTAAGCAGGTAAATTGTTCAACAGGTAACTTATTAAACAGGTTAATTAGTAGACATTTATGACAAGATGACAGGTAAAATAGTGTATTGATAAACAGGTCGATAGGTAAATTGGTAGACAGGTAAATTGATAGACAGGTGAATTGGTAGACAAGTAAATTGGTGAAAAGGTAATTTGTTGAATAGCTCATGGTGTTCAGGTAAATTGAAGGATATGTAAAATGGTAGACAGGACAGATAAACTGGTAGATAGACAATTAACGAGACGGATAAACAGGTTGATAAGTAAATTGGTAGACATGTGAAACGGGTTGATAGGTAAATAGGTAAAATAGGTAAACTGGTGAGTCGGTAAAATAGTAGATTGATTAACAAGTTTATAGGTAAATTTGTAGACAAATTGTTGAATAGGTAAATTATTGAACAGACAGTAGTAACGTTAAACTAAATGTAACAAATACACCTTTGTTCAACTTTTTAATTTAAACTAAATCACGGCAAAGCGTGAAGGGTACAGCTAGTTAATCATAAAATAAGTGAAAATCTGGCGCAAAATTCTTGCTCACCTTACCAGAAAACGTGACAGAAATCCTGTATAAAGAAATACTGACGTCGCGTGCGCCGGGCTTAAGTTAGGTTTTAAACCAATAAGGGTTTGACATCCCTGGTATGAATTCCGTTTCCAAATAACGAAGTTTATACAAAATTCGAAAAAATAAAAAAAAATTAAAAAGAAAAAAAAAGAAAATTAATGAAACCCTTAGCATTTTATTAAACGGTTCACTAATGAATTTAAAATTATATAACTAATTCGAATTGAAATGTTTTATATACAAAATACAAATTACGTATTACATTCAACTTTTGACTCACTAAAAATATATACAAATTTTCGGGTGTATAATAAACTATCAATTTTAAAGTATGTTAAAAAGGAACTGTCTGCGCCAAATATTGAATAAATGATAAAGGATATTTATTATAGAAACGGCATTTTGTATTTTGTAAAAGTAAAATAAGTCAACTAACATAAAACCAGGGCCTTGTACCGCATGGGGTACCGGAGATGTCAAATATTTGCAAATATCTGACATCTCCGGTATGAATTCCGTTGTCAACAAAAACCTCGCAAACCTTTGCATTTTATTCGGCTCATTGTACAATTATACGGGATTTGCAAATAGTTCTATATGAAATCTTTCAAATACATGAAATAATCACAATACCTTTTGAATCTTTCAGTTTTGGGTCCTGTGTCCCCCGAGTCCTTAGGCCGGACACTGACTCACGAACACTTTGCACTTGATTTTAATAAATTTTACACACCACCACCTAATCACTTGGCCGACAAGTTTATTGATGACATAACACTTGGAAATGTCGGATATTTAAACAATATCCCTACAGCAGCAAATACAATCTGACATTTTATGACCAACAGACGTTGAACGCCGTTTGTAGCGACATCAAAAACTACAAAAAACATGGAGGAGGTAGGAGAAACACATTGTTTACAAATGTTTTGAAATGATCCTAGACAATATAATAATGGAAATGATTATGCAATAAATGGTTATTTACAGGTGCTATTGTGGAAAATACTTCTATAGGATTAAATAGAAATTTAGGTTTTATGAAAGAAGTATCCTTAAACACTGGAGTACATGTGGTGGCAGGTACTGGTTACTATGTATCAGCTGTACAAACCCAGAGTACTCTGGAAATGTCTAAGGAAAACATGTATGATCAGATTTTATCTGATTTAACAACTGGCGAATCTGGAGTCAAATGTGGATTTATTGGAGAAGTTGGAAGCTCATGGCCAATTGACGGTTCATAATACTCCTTTGTATATTAATCTTGTTAACACATGTATTTTTTAATTACTATTTCCTTTAGATTTCGAAAAGAGATCAATTGAGGCAACAGCTCTGGCTCAAGAATCTATGCACTGTGCTGTTAGTTTTCATCCGGGTCGAAATCGAGAAGCACCATTTGAAATTATGAGAATTTTTATGGAAGCTGGTGGAAATGCTCATAAAACCATTATGTCGCATTTAGACCGTAATCATAACAAATACATCATAAAACATAATAGAATTAAATATTGACTTTTTATAATTCTACAGGTACTTTACTGAATACAGAAGATCTCTTACAATTTAGCGATTTGGGATGCTATTGCCAGTTTGATTTATTTGGTACAGAGTGTTCATTCTACCAATTAGCACCAATGTGTGATATGCCTTCCGATGCTCAAAGAGTTGACAAAATATTGAAATTGATAGAACATGGGAAGACTGACAAAATACTAATGTCACACGATGTTCATACTAAACATAGACTGGTATGTAAAAATTAAAAACTGAATGTCTAGCTTTATAAATAACCATAAATCTGATATAATAAATACATTCACATGCCATTAATTTGTTCCAGCACTGTGGTTTTAATAAAAATTAAAAATTAAGATAATGTTTATTAATTTAATTGTTTTTTTATTCTAACTCCCATGCTTGAATTTTTTCAGTCACTTTTATCCACAAAACTTAAGTAAGCTGCTTATAAATGATTGCAAGACCATCAGCTTGCTACAATTGACAAAATTTCGCATATTTTCATTTCACCATTAATATTTTTCTACAAAACTTACTTGGTCAAAGCTCATCTTCAATTTTGCTCGTATCTCGAAGCAACGAATTGCTCTTGGCAGCTCTTCTCACTGTTCTTATTACCACTGCTCTTATTTCTTTTTACAGGAAGACTTTGGTGGTCATGGATACAGCCACATCATGAACAATGTTTATCCTAAAATGCTAATTAAAGGAATCAGTCAAGAAATCATAGACCAAATAACTATAACCAATCCCCATACTTGGCTCAAGAAATAAAACACAAGAATTTAAAATTTTCAGATATGCAGCCTGAAATTGTCAGTGTTATCACAGCATATGTATTTAAAATAGTTTTAGCATAATTGGTATAGTAATAGATTTATATAAAAATAGTCAACTCGATAAAATAATTTCATAATGCTGAAACTTTTCGGCGACGGCTACTACCGAATGATGGTCTTGGCTTATACAAATCTTCATTTGTATAACATTGGGTTTGATAAGCAGAAGATCTGGAAATACGACTTTTAGACAGAGTTTTATTTGATAGATCCTCATTAGTATCTTCAGTATTTGCATCTGCAAATAAGAAATGTGTCAATATATACAATTTAAAATTGAATTTTATATAATAAATTATTCGCATACCCGACTTGTTGGATGAACTTGATTTAGAATCAACTACATTATTTGTATTACTTCTTTTATTAGACTTGCGACCATTGCTTTTGGACATATTTACTAAAACAATAAAAAATCCAAAATTAATAAAGTTCTTTTATTTACATAATTAATCATTTAACCTACTTTTACTTGAATCGTCCAGTTTTTGTCTCTTATGTACATTATTATTAACACAATTAGTGACTTCATTATTTTTAGGGGAATCCACTGTGGAAACTTCCATGTTATCTTGGTCATCATCATAATCACTACAATAAGATACTTGAAAGCCACCATTTTGCACGGTTTCACCATCTTTACTATTTGTACTTGGTACAACACCTCGGCCAAATATTATTTCCATAATCTCTTCTTTGCTTTTTTGTTTCGTTTGTTCCTGACTTTCATCAAATTCATTACTAGAAGTTGCTGACAAGTTATGAGCGATCTCCATTTCATCAGAGTTTGAAGATGTATCAACATCATAAAATA